GGTCACGAGATGCATCCTAGACTTTTTTTTACAAATTTGGAGCACCACAGCGTCTGTTAACAGATCAGGGACGAGAGTTTGTCAACAAGGTTGGTTTAACAAATCAAGTCAAAATAAATGGATATTACCATAAGAAATATCTGAATTTTTTTTTTATTATTTCAAAGGTCAATTTTAGCCTGAGAGGCTGGGCATCACCAGGAGTCTGTGTTCTCCTTATCATCCCCAGACAAATGGCCTTGTTGAAAGAATGAATGGCACAATTCAAAGGTAATTTACATGTGTACAGGCACATGTTCTGAAGTTTTTTTTTTACATTGCATGATTTTCTTTTTGATTGTTAATGTCCAGAAGCCTGACAAAAATGGTTGGGGAAAATCCATCAACCTGGCACCTGCAACTAAATGCAACAATGTTCGCACTAAGAACAAAAAAACAATTAACAACAAAATTTTCCCCATATTATCTAATGTTTGGGAGAGAGGCACGATATCCATGTCAGGTGCCAAAGGATTATGAGGTTAGTGGTTTGTGTTTTTTTTTTTTTTTTTGCTGACACTTGATCTTTAAAGATGTGAATAATTATTGTGAATGTCTTACTTAGCTCTGTCATGGAAAGGTGGAAGCAATGGTTGAAAGTGAGCAGCTGGCTGAGGGGTTGAGAGATCGGAGGGAGACAATGGAAGTTGTCAAACTGAACATCACGAAGAGTCAAGAGAAAGTACGGAAGCGAAAGATGGAAAAAGGGCAGGAGGACAACTTAATGGCTGGGGATAAAGTGTTGGTTAGGAATGTGAGACAGGAGAACAGAAAGGGTGGAAAAATGGACCCAGACATGCTTGGTCCATTTACTATTATTAAAGGAACACTCCGACTTTTTGGGACTTTAGCCTATTCACCTTACCCCCCAGAGTTAGATAAGTCCATACATACCTTTTTCATCTCCGTGCGTGCTATAAGTCTGTTTGACGCACCCACCGCTAGCCTAGCTTAGCACAAAGACTGGATGTGAATGGTTGCAGCTTTCATACTAATCCAAATGAGTGACAAAATAACGCAAACGTTTTCCTATTTACATGTTGTGGTTTGTATAGTCACAGAGTGTGCAAATATCAAGGCCATATGAGACACAGACATCTTTTAACCGTATAAATAATTCTGAAGGCGAAGCACTACTTGGGCAGAGTGATAACCATCACCTGAGACGCACCATGACGAGGAGCAGAGAATTCGCTCAAGGGGGTCGCACACCGGGCGCGCAGCGCCATGTCTTCAAAATTCGAACAGATTATTCTCTATGTGTGTCCGGCGGCGCCATTCGGCGTCTGTCCGCGCCGCCCAGCTACGGCTCAGGACCGTGTTCAAAACCCTGCCGCGCCACAGAGCGCCATTTGCATAGTTTTATATTAAAATTGCATTTATTTGTCTCAAATCGTCGTTAATGTACATGACTTCACCCTGTGCTGCAATATACATTTAAGCCTATTTAACATTCCTAATTTTCCTAATTCCTAACAGCTTGAATAGTCATAGCCTATTGGGGAAAAAATGTAAAACAAACATAGCCTTTTTAAATCCATTTTTCAATAGGCTACTCTATCATATTAACCATACACTAACTGGGTTATTATTATTATTATTAAGTACCAGTATAAACCCATCAGTGCGAAATATTAATGCATAGGCGATGTAACGTTTGCCTCACGTGGTTACATTCACGGTCGTGTAGAGCCACCTATTGGATTTACCAGGTCACAACACACTTCAGGTAATTTCTGTAGCGTAGCAGTGGAGCGAAATGGACGAAGAAAAACTCATCAATGGAGTAGGGAGTAGTATGAAGGAGTAGGTAGTAATCAATGAAGTAGTTGCCTAGACAACGGATAACGTTACAACAAAATAACAGACTTAACAAGGTGATAGACACTTGGTTAATAACGTTCAAACATCAGTTATTTTATTCACTTAACATAAAAAATATATATAATACATCCAGTTTAAACTCACCCATCTTGCAGCTCTTGACTTCTACCAGGAGTTGATTCAAAACTGAGCTCGTGCGAATAGAATGTGCGCGTCTGGTGTGCGATACCTATGAATTGTTCTAGACGTGGCGCGGCGCTGCGCTGCGCGCCCGGTGTGCGACCCCCTTCAGTGTTGGAGTAAAGAGTCAGCAATTACTAACGTTAGATAGAAAAGCATAGTTTATCATGGGTGTTTGCTTTATTGTATGAGCTGTGACAATAAACAGGGGAGACCAGGTACCATGTTTCATTGATTTCCAACCAAAAACGCACCCAGATTTATAAATATCACATGAATAAATAATTATTATTACAGGAATCAATATATTTTAAATGCAATTTATTAGCTGAACCAAATGTATTCAACAGTATATAATATACAGTATAATTGCATTACTATAGGATAGAATACGGGGAAAGTAATAGCACAAATTGATTTTGCACAATGAACTCACAGCCTATCGTACCCTTTTGCACGCTCAAGTTCGTTATTTCCATGGTTATTTCAAATTTAGGCTACTAGGCGCGCCGCGCGCAGGGTGCAAGTTCAACGTGGTGAACGCGCTCGTTTTTTTTCCAAGCGCGTCCGCACCGCATCAAGATAAAAACATATTCATACCCTAATCATATAATAGTGTCACTAACGTTACATTAGCTCTGGCTAATGGCACTGTTACAGTAGGTCATCTAAAAACATAACGGAACACTTACCTCAGCCGCAGGGTGATCCACTTGTCCTGTCTGTGCTATAGATGGGATGGCCGTATCCTTCAGCACATTATGGTCCGTGTGGCAAATTCCATTTTTTCAAAATAGTCGTCCATTGAAATGTACCGAGCAAACATAATGTCCCTTGATAATCTATTTAGGTGTGTTTGGATAAATATCCAGAGTAAGTTAGCCATTTCTTCATCCAGTCAGCGTTTTTAGTTGGAATTCTGTGAAACATGGTATTACCTCCCCTTACTGTCGCAGCTATTTACAATAGAGCGAAAACCCATGACTGTAAACTATTTTACTATTTATAAATTGCTGACTCTGTTACCCAAACACTGAGCGAACTCACCGCTCCTCACCACGCGTGTCTCCGGTGATGCGGTTATTACTCCGCCAAAGTAGCAGTGCTTCGCCTTCAGAGAATAGTTCTAAGGTTTTATACGGTTAAAAGATGTCTGTGTCTCATTTGACTTTGTTATTTGTACATTCTGTGACTATAGACCATTTCACAAGATGTAAACAACACTGGTCCAGAAGCACTTCCTGTTTCAGTTTTTTAACACTACATAAAAGCTGGGATAAAATACAACCAACAGAACATTTAAAACTGAATCAAAAAGTTATACAAACATCTTTAAGATGTTTTCTTTACATGTGAAATAAAGAAAACAGTTACAAACTGAAACAGGAAGTGCTTCTGGACCAGTGTTGTTTACATCTTGTGAAATGGTCTATACAAATCACAACATGTAAATAGGAAAACGTTTGCGTTATTTTGCCACTCATTTGGATTATTATGAAAGCTGCAACCATTCACATCCAGTCTTTGTGCTAAGCTAGGCTAGCGGTGGGTGCGTCAAACAGACTTATAGCACGCACGGAGATGAAAAAGGTATGTATGGACTTATCTAACTCTGGGGGGTAAGGTGAATAGGCTAAAGTCCCAAAAAGTCGGAGTGTTCCTTTAACATAGAAGGCAAAAATGTTGATGTGGTTTCAACCAAGGGAAAGAAAAAGTTGAAATTCAACTTGGATCACTTAATAAAGTATGTGGAGCCCGAGCCTCACATTCCAAAAAAATGGATCCCATCAACCCCTCTCAGTCCTCCTGCTCCTCCAGCCAATCCTCCTCACCATGCAACGCCTCCATCCGCAGCCAATCCTCCTCACCATGCAATGCCTCCATCACCAGCAAATCCTCCTCACCCTGCCAATCCTTCTCACCATGCAACGCCTCCATCCGCAGCCAATCCTTCTCACCATGCAACACCTTGATCATCAGCCAATCCTCCTCACTCTGCCAATCCTCCTCACCATGCAACAATGGCACAAACACAAAACAACCCAGGCCCACCAACTACTCACTCTTGCTCCATTTCAGTGCCATTGCTCAGAATTTTACTTTGTATTCATTGTGCTTATTTTAGTGATACATGATATATGGGAGGGCAAGAAACCGAATGTGCTGTGGAGCAAAATGAGCCCCTACAAATTGTTTTCCAAAAACCTGATGGGTCTGGCACCAGGCAAATGGTTGGAAAGTGAGGTAGGGTTGCATTATCAAATTGTATATGGTTACCTTTGTTTTGGTTCCTTGTTTTATTTTGATTCTTTTTGCAAATAGGTTGTGAATGGTTATCTACACCATCTTAAAAACCGATTAAATGTGTCAGGAATGAAACGGGCATATTTAATCGATTCATACCAGATGACTGCAATCTGGAATGGAAGCCAAAAGGGCTTGAAAAAGGTTTTTGCATTTAAACACAATCTGAAGTGTTTAAGTAAATTGACAGTTTTTAAAATCGCTATTGTATTGTTTGTAGCTTGATCCATCCAGCTATGACGTAACTTTCTAAATTTCTACAGAAGTAGATGCATGAATAGATGATAATGCAGACTTAAGATTATCTACTGACACTTAATGTTTGTTTTGTTTTTTCAGGCAATGTTCCCAAAATTGTCAAAATCTATATATATTGACCCTTTTGGTGCTAATGAATCGGCAATTTCTAAGTGCAGGGATGCTACAAGGCAAGTATTGTATGAAAATTTTATCTGTTGTATATGTTTGTATTGTGGCTTAATGATGAGTGCATTTGCACACTTGGGGATGCCACTCAATTGTGCATCCTACCCAACAGGATTCCACATCATGTGGTGCATTTGTTTGCAAAGTATGTTATATGTACTTGTATGAATTTTTACAGTCTTTATTGATAAAACCTAATTTATGTATGGCATAACTGCTCACATCAGCTAGCAGAGCTGCTTCTTATGGAGGAAGAGATTAAATTTTCAAATGAGGAAGGCCTTGTTTCACTGCGCCTGGAAATTGCAAAAAGGCTTTTAAGAGAAACTGGTGAGAAATAATAATTTGAATTTATATAGCTTTGACTACCTTAAGTTTTCTTTGCATGACATGACTCCTTCTACATATTACAGATGACCTTTCACAGCTCTGTCGTTCATGTGGAGAGCATCATAGGGACAAAGGCCAAACTGTGCAATGGGTAAGAACAATTTACAGTATAAATATGCATTGAAAACCACTCACGAACAATTAACTTATTCTAATGTTTGCTCTTCCTTCCTTAGATTGAATGTACAGAATGTGGAAGGTGGTACCATTGGGACTGTGTGGGTAGACCTTCCACTGTTGGCAAATACAGCTGCCCTGCGTGCTTATAGTGTTTTTGTCCTGCCTTTTTTCACCTGTTTTTACTGCTGTTATTTTTTTACAATGTTTGTTAACTAATTGCTAATAAATGCTGTGGGTTATTCACTGGATCCTACCTGTATGTCTTTTAATTATAAAATTATATTTGCATAGCTATAGCTCATCACCTTTCTCCACTCTTAAGCAACATTTATGGAGTGTTGTGCTTTAACTCATTCCTCAGTTTAAATAAATAAATTGACGTGTTCCTTTAACCACAATGCATTGAGGCTAAATTTAAATTAAGACACAAACTAGGCTTCACAAAATAATCACACACGCACTGCAAAAACAATGCAAATACTTGTCCAGCCTCTCACGGGGATTTCGGATGCCCCAACGCCTGTGATGAGACGACTCAACGCCTGTGAAGAGACGACTCAACGCCTGCGATATGTTATGGCGCCGTTTCATTCATAAACAATATTTATATTTAATATTTATATTAAAACAATATGAATGTAAGCCAGAGGAGAACTGGCCCCCGACTGAGCCTGGGTTCTCCCAAGGTTTTTTCTCCATCCAATCTGATGGAGTTTGGTTCCTTGCCACTGTCGCCTTGCTTTTGGCTTGCTTTGAGCTTGCTCAGTTGGGGTTATTTAGTGTTTAGCAATGTTGTTGATCCTGTGTTGTGCTACTTTCATGTTATCAGTGTGAAGCTGCTTTGATACAATCTGTATTGTGAAAAGCGCTATATAAATAAATGTGACTTGACTTTATTTAACGTAGCCACTTAAAATTGTCATTTAGATACGATTTCAATTGAAACGAGTGTAACAAAATGATATGGGCGTGGTCTGTGTTTCGTGATGTTGAGAAGAAGAAAAAACATAACTTTTCAAACGGCGTCTGAAACATGCAGCGACAGAGGATACAAACATTAAATGATGTTTTACTAACAAAGTTCGGGAGGAGCATGTTCAGAATTAAACACAGGTGGAGCACATTCAGGTAATCAAGCCTAATTAGACACGAGTGGAGCGCACTCCCAATCAATGAAGTAAGAGGTATATATACAGCAAACTTAACTCAGTTCATTGACAGTCTAACAGCATATTGGTTCGACCTTTTTTGCTACCATGTCTCAACTCCAGCTCTTCCCATCCGATGATGAATCCAACTTCTCACCGGATCCTCAGCCAGAATCAGCTGACCCGAAGACCACTCCTTCTCCGCCCAACATTTCAACTGATCCCCAGGCTTCTCCACGCGGCCGCCTGCTAGAAATGGAAGCCCAATCATTTCAACATAGTTTTGCAACAGCTACTAATCCCTCTTCTTTTCAGTGGCCTCCAGCACCTGTCCCAGATGCTAGTGTGAGGCTGCCTCCGCTAGCATTGGAGGCCCAATCATTTCAACCTGCTTTCGCAACAGCTACTAATCCCTCTTCTTTTCAGTGGCCAACAGCTCCAGTAGCTCAAGCAAGCGTGAGGCTGCCTCCGCTTGCAGCACGAGCCCACTCTTCCCAGTTTCAACCTTCCTTTCCTTCTCATACTTTTAACCCTCTTCCCCAAGCCCCAGAGGCCGATTCAAGCGTGAGGCTGCCTCCGCTGACAATTGCAGCCCCTGCTTTGGTTCCTTTCAGCTCTCTTCTCCAGGCAAAATCTCAGCACTCTCTCTTCACAGCAACTCAGATGCCCATCCCATCGAACGCCGTTGCTGCGGAGCCACCCCCAGTGTCCCACAACATCCGAGCACAGATCCTGTCAGGTGCAGACGTAGATCTCTCATCTCTTCTCTCTCTGTTACCTGTAACCGAATCAAACCGCCAAATAGATTGTGGGGATTTTTCTGTCACTTTAAAAAACCCAAATCCACATTCATCACGTTTACTTTCTTTTTCCGAGTTCACAATTGCTTTCAACCGTTTCACTGAAGTAATCTGCTCAGCCTTCCCCCATAGGTGGCGTGAATTAAACGACTACTTATCAATTATAGCCGAACTCGCGCTGTCCTATGGAGGAGGGCACTTCTACACCTACCACAAGCTCTTCTCCGCCAAGTGTTCTGTCCGAGTCGCTCAATGGAACCAATGTCCTTACTGGGGCGCTCTTGATCCAGATCTACACAGCAGGGTTTTCCTAGGCTGCAAGAACATTTCATGTGCGGTATGCAGGTCAGTGGCACATTCAACCACGACATGCCCTCGAGTCAACTCCTCCATCCCCCCCTGCCCAGACTCAGCCCCAGTTAAATCAACCAGCTATGTGCCAAGACCTACAACCCATGAAAATACCGATGGAGGGAGACCGCAGACAGCCTCCTTTTCAAACAGCAGGCAGCTGTGCAACAGTTTTAACCATGGGAGGTGCTACAGACAGCGTTGCCGGTTTCTCCATGTCTGCAATTTCTGCTTACTTGTCGACTCCCGTGAATATTTCTCGCCTAGCGATAGAACTAGCTCATCACCGAGACACCCATTTCACACACTATCTTCTGTCCGGCCTCGAGCACTGTTTCAAACCCGGTGTGGAATGCCCACTCTCTCAAAATATTGTCTGTAATAATCTTCAATCTGCTTTGGCTGAACCCGACATAGTAGACAACCTGATCAAAAAAGAAGTCGAGTCAGGCTTTATGATTGGTCCATTCGACAATCCTCCTTTCAAAGTTTTTCGTGTCAGCCCCATTGGAGTGGCCACAAGAAAATTTTCAGGTAAAAAACGCCTTATAATTGATCTATCAGCCCCACACGATTCCCCGTTCCCAAGCATTAACAGCTTGATCCCCCTTGACGAATTTTCTCTCAAATACCATGAAATAGATCAGGCGATCGACATGATAAAAACTGCGGGTTGGGGAGCTTGGCTGGCAAAAAATCGACATCACTTCTGCCTTCAAAGTGATGCCCATCCATCCAGATTCATGGCACTTATGTACGCTGGCAAGGAAATTTTTATTTTTCCATACGCTTAACTTTCGGATGCAAAAGCAGCCCCAAAATTTTCGACATGCTATCAGAAGCTGTTTGCTGGATTTTGTTTAACAATTACGCGATTCCTCACCTCATCCACTTGCTAGATGATTTCCTAATCATTTCACCTCCCGATGCCACCCCAGCCGCGCATTTCCTCACCGTTCAAAATGTTTTTTCGAGACCCAGGAGAAAACCATGGGTCCACCACATCCATCGAATTACTCGGCATTAACTTAAATTCAGTACAATTCCAGGCTTCCCTGCCAAAGGAAAAAATTGACAGGATCATACTCGTCTCATCTACCCTCATTGACCGCTCAAATTGTTCCAAACGCGAACTCTTATCCCTGCTCGACCACCTAAACTTCGCAATGCGCATCATTCCACAAGGCCGCCCTTTCATTTCGCATCTCCTCTCACTCGCCTCTTCAGTACACGCACTAGAAGACCTAATTTCCATATCTCAGATGTGCCGCGATGAACTCAGGTTATGGATAACTTTCCTTAAATAGTGGAATGGCCTGTCCTTTTTCTATAACAATCTTGTTTTATCTCCAGTCGATATCCAGTTATTTACAGATGCGGCCCCCTCAATCGGCTTCGGGGGTTTCTACCAAGGACACTGGTTCGCATCTCCGTGGCCCCCACAACTCCAAGACACGACTCAGTCCTCAGCCCTATTTGAGCTCTACCCTCTCGTGGTAGCAGCCTTCCTGTGGGGGAAAGAATGGGCCACCAGCAGCGTTTTAGTGCATTGTGACAATGAAGCAACTGTCGAATGCATTAATAAAGGCCGTTCCCATTCACCCGCCCTGATGCCACTCTTAAGACGCCTAACCTGGATCTCAGCGTGTGATCAGTTTATCATAATTGCCAAACATATCCCCGGGTCTGAAAATCAAATCGCTGACTCCCTGTCTCGTTTTCTGTTTCAGAAATTCAGGATGCTGGCTCCAGAGGCAGACCAATTCCCAACTCCAGTACCTCACTATTCAGAACTAATATTCCCGTAACCACCCTCTAAAACAACTCCTCGACACATCACTGGACACCATCCTCCAAGCAGTTTCTCCCAGGACCCTCCAATCTTATGTGACAGCTTGGAGGTGTTTTAAAGCATTCCACTTCTCATACAACTTGCCATTCCCTGATTTTTCTCTCCTTTCAATCACCTCATTCATCTCCTACCTTAACAGCATTAAGGGCCTTCAAGTGGGATCCATCAAAGGTTACCTGAGCGGCATCCAGTTTTTACATAAATTGATGTATGGCGCTCCCTCTCCAGAGATAAATAATTCACAAACCTCCCTTCTGGTCAAAGGAATTCAACGATCCCATCCCACCCATCCTGACACCAGACAACCCATAACACTGGATATTCTCACAAAATGTATTCATGCCCTCCGCACAGTCTACCAGCCTCTCGAGACAGCCCGCACACTCGATGCTATGTTTATTCTAGCCTTTTTTGGCTTTCTTAGATGCTCGGAACTCGCCATCACTTCCAAATTTGACCCAAGAGTCCACCCCACCATCTCAGACTTAGCAGTACTGGATAGTGAAACCATCTCATACTTGATTAAGCAAAGCAAGACAGACCAATCCAAAAAAGGCCATTTCATCTACATCTTCAAACTCTCATCGCCAATCCAACCATACCAATCCATTCAGGCATATCTTCAGTGGAGAAGCTCCCAGGCTAAATCCCCTCTTGATCCCCTATTTATAGATGACTCCAACAAACCCGTGACATGCTTTTGGTTCCAGAAACATCTCAAATCCGTTCTTCAACAGTCAGGCATCCAAGCAAAACATTTCTCCAGTCACTCTTTCCGCATCGGAGCAGCAACCTCAGCAGCCCAAAAAGGCCTCTCCCAGCAGCAGATCCAAGCTCTCGGAAGATGGTCCTCAGACGCTTTCCAAAGCTACATCAGGACCAACCGGTTCCACATTAAAAAAGCCCACCAAACCCTCATCGAATAAAACCCTCCGGGTCGTCCACCTGGGTGTTCTTCCTTCATCCAGTGATCTAGTTCCCAGCAGACGAAGCAAAAACTCTCCCTGTAGAAGACTTATATTATCTTTTTCTCCGTCCAGCAAGCATTTGCTGTCCAGCGAGCTTTGGTCTTCCAGCGGACATTGCATGCATCTATGTTTCCTCTTTTCTGTCCAGCGAGCATTGGTCTCCCAGCGGACATTGCATGAATCTATGTTTCCTCTTTTACTGTCCAGCGAGCATTGGTCTCCCAGCGGACATTTCATAATCCTGTCCAGCGAGCATTGGTCTCCCAGCGGACATTGCAGGCATCTACGTTTCTTCTTTTTCTGTCCAGCGAGCATTGGTCTCCCAGCAGACATTGCTTAATTCTGTCCAGCGAGCATTTGTCTCCCAGCGGACATTGCAGGCATCTATGTTTCCTCTCTTTCTGTCCAGTGAGCATTGGTCTCCAGCGGACATTGCAAGCATCTAAGTTTCCTTTTTTTTTTCTGTCCAGTGAGCATTGGTCTCCCAGCGGACATTGCATGCATCTATGTTTCCTCTTTTTCTGCCAAGCGAGCATTGGTCTCCAAGCGGATGTGGCATTCATCTATGTTTCTCTTTTACATCTAACAGGTATCAATTTCCCAGTGGACCACAAGAAATCTCCAGTCCGGGCTTCCAAAACACTCCACCGTCAGCCTGGTAGGGCCCATCAGCCCGACGCCGTGAGCTGCTCCCGTCGGAAGCTACATGGGCCCTCCTGGTTGGGCATCCCCAAATCCTGTCACCCCTCATTCGTCAACCAGTAGGGCCCGTCCGCCCAGCGCAGTGAGCTGCTTCCGCCAGAGGCAACACGGGCCCTCCTGGTCAGGCGGCATAAATCAAGCTGTTCCTCATCCATAGGCCAGTAAGGGCTCGCCCGTTCGACGCAGCAAGATGCGCTCGTTAAGAACGGTGCAATTCAAACGGACCCAGCCCGCCAAAATTCTGCGTTTTGGGGGGTCTTTAGTCTGGCGGCTGTCCTTTGCCTTTTGCTTTTGGGGGAGCACTCTGGGTTCGGGCAAAAATTCCGAGCTCGGAGCCCTCCCCCTGGACAGCACGCCAAATACGCATAATCTTTACTCTGTTTAATTGATGTAAATGTGAACTCGTGAATTTACCAATAATATAGAAAGCTTTCAAATCTGCTCAATGGAAAATTCGCTGTGACGAATCTGTAGCCGTCTAACATCTGCTGGAAATCCAGGTAAATCTATCTGCGTGCACGCGCGTTTCCCCAGTTGATCCGTAACACCGGCTCCCAGTGCCAACAACGGACTCCAACATTACTAATTTATTTTATCACCTGCGCTAAAACTACAGATATGTGGTCGAGCCGAACGACACATGTAGCGGCAACCTATAGCCGCTGAGAGGCTAAGCAGCAGGAAATATCCGCGACGCGTTTTCTTGCAGTGGATATTCAGTAGCATTTATTGACATGGTAACGGACTACGCGCAGAGACAATGAAGAACATACATGCAAACGGTCAACAGAAAGTGAGCACTCCCCGCTACTCACCCCCTCTCCACACACCCCAAACAGGAAACACTATCAGGTATATACCCACCAATACCCATGTGACCGTCACACCTGGAAACGCACGTAAATTACAAAATAAAAGACAAAACATTTTCTACACTTACAACACATCCATATATGAGCCTGACGATACACTTTATCAACCGAGATTGGAACCTCTGCAGCCGCTGTTTACAGACAAGTTATTTCCCGGAAGACCACACTGGAGAAATGCTAGCCAAAGGACTCAGAGAATCTCTTCAATTGTGGGGACTGCAAGAGGATCGCCTTGTCTGTGTTACCACAGACAATGCCACCAACAACATCCTTGCCCTTCAGCTGAATGAAATGACACGCCTACAGTGTTTTGGCCACCGTCTTCATCTAGCTATTGGTGAGTGCTTCATCTCTAAATCGATATAAAAATAATACAAATATGTTTCAGTACATACACAGTCAGTAATACCTTAGAGCAATTTTTCTTAAAAGGTTCTTCCCTTAGAATTTTAGATATTCTCCTTGTGATTCTGCTTTAGGTGTCTTCAATAATGCTCAATCATCACTCATTTATTCACTTAACTTAACTTTAAACTTTTGCTTGCAATAAAGCCTTACAAAAATGCAAAAAGTCAACATACTGCATAGTACTCGTACCTCAAAGAAATAACAATAACTATAACAAGGCACTCTACTTTAAACAACACTGTAAAGCCTCATATTTTCTCAATAAGTCTCTCAGGTGGTTTTCTAGGTCTAGTAGACCTTCTGAGTGGTTTAGTCATTTGAGAGTCTGTGGTAAGAGGCTCAGCTTGGTGTGGATTTGGTGTATCAATTTGTTTTTCAGACTCAGCTTCACCGTGTTTGTCAATGTCCACATGAGTCTTTAACAGACTCCTCCTGTTTCTCCTCACTTTATGTCCATCCTCTGTTTCCACACTGTAAGATCTAGGTCCGATTTCACTGAGCACTATCGCTTTTCTGTCCCAGCAATTAGGTCCCTCAATTCTCACAGTGTCCTTTACACAAAGAGGTTCCAGACTTTTTGTAGCTCTGTCATAGGTCATTTTTTGTCTGATTTTGAGTTTCTTTTTGTTGTTCATCCATTTGTTATTGTCTCGTCCTGGGGCTCGTTCTTCGTACGTTGCTTAAAACATCCGAGATCAAATGAGACATCCAAGATAATATCATCGTGCTAATCATGATCCGGCTAATTGGGTTCTTCAAACACACCTGTTGTTTATGATTAGTATCGCTGGATTGAGTTATCTGAGATAATTGCGCGTTCATGCGTTGGTTTAAAAGGAGACATGTATCGATACCAGAAACAATGATCAGCAACGCTGCTATTGGCTGTTCAGCATGGCTAAAGAACGCGCCCAGTTTTTTTCTCAAGGAGAACAAGAGCTTTTAATGGAAGGTTATGCGGAGTTTCAATCTTTAATTAAAACGACAGGGAACACCTCGAAGTCTGCAAAAGCCAGGAGAGAGGGCTGGCAAAAAGTAGCAGACAAATTAAATGCTTAAGTGCTGTCCATGGTTTCTATCACTTTCTATAGAATGTATTTTTGCATTTTAATAATTGCATATTTACTTTGTTCTTTTATGTCAGAGCCTCCGCGGGACCCATTAGAACATGGGGACAAGTAAAAGTGAAGTACAAGAATATTCTACAAAATGGTAGCCTTTAAATCTTATACTGTCTTTATTTTAAAAAGGCCCTTTTTTTCTTCTTTTTAAAAGCCACTGTTAAATAATGTGTTTGTCTGTTTATAACAGCCACCAAGAAAAAGGCTGAAAAAAAAACAGGTGGTGGTCCTGCACCACCACAATATACCCCAGCAGAGGAGCTGGCCCTTGGGTTGAATCAAAACCGACCCATTGTGGAGGGCATCCCTGGCGGCAGCTCTTCCTCAGACCCAAAGCCAGGGACCAGTAGCAGCAACACCTTTATTACTGGTAGGCTAAAAAGATTTCAATTCTCTTAGTACACTGTAAAATGATTTGTTGCTGCATTAAATGAAGTATAATCCAAATGGCTTGTACAGTTATTTCAACCGTTTGTGAAAGTGAAAACTTCTGAACTTTTAATGTAAAATATATTGCCATGGGTTATTGAGCACATTATATTTTTTACAGTGTACTTAATTGTAATGACTTTTTTTTTTTTTTTTTTGGTTCCCCTCTTTTGTGCAGTTTTACATAATACACCAACCCTTTTACCTGTTCCCAAGCAAGTGGTGGCTGAAGCATATGCAGTAAGTTGTGTACTTTTTCTAACTTGCATAAAGGGAAGAAAGTGCAACACTTTTTTAATACCCATTTATTTCCATTGCACAGGACCGTGAAGAAACCCTCTCAGATGACTGTCCTTTGGAGGAAGAACCTGTAAGTGCATAAATAACTTAACACTAATTTGTATATACTTGTGTACCTATTCTTTTTGTGTGCAATATGAGTTGCAGGAGTCCACACCTACAGAAAGGCCTACAGAAAGGCCTACAGAAGAGTCTGCACAAAGAAGTGATACAGAGGTGGACAGTGTTGTACTTTTACTTTTTACTTTTGTTGCATGAGGCATGTTTTGACCCTTTTTTTCTTTCACAAACAGACACAGGGTGACATCCGTACCTGCAATAGCAAAAAAATTCTGCTTTACAACCTGGGGTCTTAAGTGGCTTGGAAATAACACAAAAACCCCTAAAAACTGCTTGAGTGCCAAGTAAACTTTGCGAATGGCGCGACAGACGGCACTTTTCACTAAGTTCTCTGCATCTCCAATAGTGTAAAGGAACGTGTCACTCGCAAAGAACCTCAGGGCAATGCACACAGTCTGTGCAGTTGTCAAAGCCCGACTCCTCCGTGTTGAACATTTAATGTGAGGTTCAAGCAAATTAATGATGTAAATAACACCCTGTCGAGAAAAACGATATCTCTAAAGGATCCTGTCTATCCTAAAATACGCGATTAATTCTAAAAGCTCTGCAAATTATCCTCGCACCTTCCGCAACAGGTTGCTGTCGTAAAAATGGACAAGACATGGCTACGACAGACTTACCGCGTCACCTCCGCTTATAAAGCCGCGATCTAACCATGTTTACATGAAATAAGCCTGCTCGTGAGCAGGCTCAAGCTAGCGCACCTGTTGCTATGACGGCAAGTCCAGGATGAGCGTCGAAGAACCAAGCGATCCAAGATCATGCCAAATCGCCAACAATCAAATCCAGCTAACTGAGTTAGCGACCTACGAAGAACGAGCCCCTGGTTGCAATTGCGGTAGTGTGGTGCGGAGCTTGCGTTTCATAAGAAGCTCAGCGGGGGACGCTCCACACTCCAGAGGTGCAGCTCTGTAGCTTAGTAAAGCGAGGTGAGGATCAGTCTTACCATCCTTGGCTTTCTTCAGTAGCCTCTTAACAATTTGTACTCCCTTCTCAGCCTGACCATTGGCTTGTGGGTACAACAGGCTTGAGGTAACATGTCTGAATCCATAGTGCTTTGCAAACTCTTTAAACTCTTCACAATCATACTGCGGACCGTTGTCACTCACAACACATTGTGGGATTCTGTGTCTGGCAAAGAACCCTTTCATGTGCAATATGACAGACTGTGCGTTGGTGCTGGAGAGTTGTGCAATCTCAGGGTAGTTCGAGTAATAGTCTATAACAAGAAGATAGTGCCTACCTTCTGCCAAGGAGCATTGGGTAGTTCAGCCACCAGCATTGGCTCCTTGACTTGTTTGTAGTGGTGTCTGAGGCAGATGTCACATTTCGCAATTGTTTCCTCTATGTCTTTGTTAATACCTGGCCAGTAGATTGCTTCACGTGCTCTTCTCTTGCATTTTTCTACTCCCAGGTGTCCTTCATGAAGACGCTGAAGCATGTACTTGTGCATGGTCTGAGGAATAACAATCCTGTTTTTTCTCAGCAGGAGTCCTTTTAACATACACAGCTCTGCCCGCACTGGGAAAAACTGTGGGCACACTCCTTTTGACCAGCCGTTGTTTACACAATGAGCCACTTTGAGCAGCATAGGGTCTACTGCTGTCTCTCGAACAATCTGCTGCAGCATGGTGTCTGTTGCAGGCAGTGAGGCAGTGACCATGTTGATGTGTGTAACAGATCTGAGTCCTAAGATTCAACTCTTAAACCGCTAGATCAATTCTAGGTTCTAAAGGAGTGGGGTGGAAAACATAAAACTCATGATGGAGTCCAGACGTTGAATGCGATAATGATATTTTACTGTAACACAGCAATATAGACAATTGTTTGAATCAAATGGAAAAGAAATCAAAAGAAAAAAATAACAAAGAGGTGAGTATAATGAAACAACACTTAAATTATCAGTGTTTTGGGAAATTATTAATTTCACAAATCTGCCCAGCTGAGTGATTAACCCAATTTGTGAATTATTAGGAATAAATCAACTTCTTTTTCCTTTTATATTAACCTTTTTTTTTTCACAGGTAAAAGAAGAAAACAAATTAGTTGCACTTAAAGCAACACAATCACATCACAATAAAACTAAAATGGAAAAATTGGAAAAGTTCACTTCAGAAAATGTAATGCACTTTTTTCAGTTCATGCAATGAATGCAATAAAGTTCAGTTTGTGTGCAACAAAGCTGTGTACTTCCTTTTCTTAATAACACAGCTCAGAATGTTCAATGGGAAAAAACTCCAATCCAGTTGGAAAAAATGAGAAAAGGATAGTAATCCGATCCAAATACAACAATCACTCCTAATGCTCTGTCAATGTGTTACCAGGTGATGCGATAGGTCCCCTGGTTACCGAAAGGAGATGAGGACGTTTACAATCCGGGTTGGCTCGCCATCTTAGTTTTCTCGTCATGCACGTCTTTTCCACATGTGTGCCCATGCACGCGCACACACACTTCAAGGAAGAGTCTTTGTCCGTTTTTTTTCTGGAACATAAAACCTGACCAAACAATCGTCATTCACCCAAATGCATTCCGTTTAGGTTGCTAACTAGTCAAGTATCAGTATCTATCCTTTTTTGAGTGTTAATATCAACTTTACTCAAGTTAAACTCAAAGTGAATCTGCTCGCGATCTCTCTGCTTCACTCTTCCTCTGTAGCTGTACAAAATGGTGCGCGGCTGCGCGCAGCTGCTGCACGCGGTCGGGGTGACTTTCTTAAAGGGGAAGCGTCAACATAAATCCTTACAGTTTATTTTTTATGAACTCTTATATTTAAATGCTCAACTTATTTAATTTAACTATATACAATCAATGTCGTTTTCAGAAATCCTTTACCTGCTACAATATTGTGAGTTTTAGTACCCACAAGTTTAAGCACTCATAAAGGCTCCATTCTACTGCTGTGCGTTTCAATTTCCTCTGCTGCAGTGTTCTCGCCTGTGTCACTGTTGAGTTCTGAGGGTTGTTCCATAAAACAAGATTAGAAAATAAGCCAGGCTTATTTTGGTTAGTCAAACTTATTGTCGGTGAATTCTGTTTCATAAAGCAAACTTAAAATAGTTCAAACTCAGTTACCCTGGAAACTTATGCTGGGAAACTAGCCTGGTCCGGGGCAGGCTAACTGTCAGGCTAAGTCTGAGTTCAGGCTTAAAGGTGCAATGTGTAACAAAGTTGAGTATTTATTAACAGAAATGCAATATGACATCCATAACTATGTTTTCAGTGGTGTATAAAGAACTTACTTATTTAACCGTAATGTTTTTATTACCTTAGAATGAGACATTAATAGCTCCATAACCGCGGGAATCCCCTTCTATGAAGGTCGCCATGTTGTGACGTCATATTCCTACCGTAGCCGAACGCGAACAAACAGCGCTACAGAACGCGTTTCATCACTACCTTGAAAGAGAAGTAGCGGAAAGCTGGAAGCTAGCCTTACACTCCGTGAGTAGTGACTTTTCCCTTGTGAGTGGTGTAAAATATGTAGTTAGGATTGTTTCATGTAACTTAGTTCTCCCTCGCTGTGTTATGGGTTTGTTATGTTGGGGATAGATGTGCTGTTACGTTCGTGAGATAGCTGATGATTAGTATTCATGTCATTGACCGTAAAACAGTACGTTACAGGAATCACTAACCCGTCGATAGAGACTTTTAGATCACTAAAGTCGATCACGAAGAGTTTTCAAAATCAGAGAAAAAAGCCTATTGTGTGTAGTAAATAGTGTCTATGGGATGCGGAGATGACATGATTGTAACAGCGCGCGCACTTCCGACCTTTGGACTCATGCGGACGCGTCCCAGCTCAGCTCACAGTAACAGCTCATATTAACCAGCTAAACTATTACTACCCTGTTAGAAAAAATATATAGCTGCTCCCTCGCTGTATTATGGGTTTGCTACAGTATGTGTGGATAAATGTGCTGCTGGTTACGTTTGTGAGACAATCAGCTGATTAATATTATTATATTAAATTATATATTAAAACCCTTGATCCTCACCTGACTACTATGGCTTTGTAAACAGTATCCATGATGTGGTTTATAATGGACTGTGGTACAGAAACAGTGACAATGTTACACACTCTTGGCTTACTCTGGCTATTCTCTGCTGTCTCAGCCGACGAGATGTTTGTCCCGTTTTAGCAACCGTAGCTTCTTCGAAAGGGAGGGGTGAGCAGTGGGCGGAGCCATTAGTGCAAACCTGGTGCAAACTCGCAACCGAACCACTAGATGTCGCTAAAAGTCACACATTGCTCCTTTAAGGAGCATACAATTTATACTCACCTGCTGGTATTTCGATGTCATTTTATTTTACTTAACCACTATTAATGCAACTTTTTTTTTTTTAAATAAATAAGGAAATGTACTTTACTAATAAATGTAAGAAATTATATGGTATAAATGCACTAAGAAATGTTCAAAACTTGTGTATTTAATTGGTGAGTTTGTTTAATGAGTTTGGTAATTAATGAAGTATATAAATAGAGAACTGAACTCGTTTCCAAACTTAACCATGGCGTGTCCTTTCATAGATGAGGTGTTGAGGGAGCTATAGTCTCGCGGAGGGCATTTCAAAGAGAGAGAACTTTCAGAGACAGGTCAGAGCCATTGGCATTAAATGACAGCTAACTATATGAACGATATAGGTTCTCAAGAGATGGGATTGCATATATTTGTAGATTACCAAGCCCACACATATGCAAATAATTATTTTGTTTAATTTGGTCTAAACCATGACTGTGTAGCCTTTAAAATTTTCCCTGGCCCCTCAACTTTCTCCTTAGTTGAACAAACACACAGAAGTCAAAGTATTTAATGTGATTTGTCTTTATTCAGAGTGAATCTGCCTGTTAGGTGTGAAAACACACAAATAAATGTTGTGAATGATCAAAAAGATAATGGTTCTTTTTTTCCTTTAAAAAAAAGGTAGTTCTACTTGCATTTTTCTGTAGCTGTTGAATTTCCAGCTCCAACTTCCTCATCTTTAGTTTTTTATACTCGATGTCGATATCAGTTGCTTCCATTTATTTAAGGCAGTATCGTTTATACTCTCCTTTTATGTTTTCTGGGTTATGTAGCAACATTTAAGTTATTTCATTACTTTTGTCACATTGTTTTAATTTCTTAATACTCTAGAACAGAAATCTAGAACAGTGTCAGCATCCTGAAAACACATTATGATCATTTTATCACACAAGTACACTTTTTAATATTCAATACCAGAGGTGGAAAGAGTACT